CTTCTTTTGTATAGGCTAGTTCAACAATCAGTATAAAAACATTTATAACAAATACAGCGTTATGTGCTAAATCAAATCACACATGAACGGAAACCTTTTTGTGTATTATATTTTACAATCTTTAATTACATAAAAATCCGCAAACTGAATCTAATAAATGAAAGAAATAGATTCGTAGAAACTTTTTACTTTGAGATTTCTCTCAAAAAAGACAGTATAAGCAAGTTAATAATGTGATATTATAAAAATCATGAAAGTATAAGGATAAACATATTTGTGGCCAAAGCCAATAAGTTTGACGCAAATGGACAAATCAAAGTCAAGTATTATATGTATGTATGTAATGAGCCGATTGCTTTTCATTGTCACGGTGTCGTTCAGAAAATAAAGTTCGAAAGTCTGAAACTGGTAAGATGAACATAGTAATATGATAATGTTAATACTTGTTGTATTAAATTGGTTAAATAAGGTTTTGCCATTAATCTATGTCGGAAGCTTTTAATATTTGATAATTTTATGTTAGTTGATAAATTTATATTGCATCACTACCGACATGACAACATATTCTGTCGAATTCCTTTAGAATATTGTACTTTTTTTCGATCCTCTCGTCGACATTAACAATCGGCAATACGACAATTATTAACATATCGTTTCAAATTGAGTGATGTTAAATAACATCATGTTGTGTATTAGAATAAAATTTAACAGACATTTATTATTCATAAGATTAGTACTAGAAGCAGTTATCCTTTGTTAGAGGGTAAAACTTAATGTTTTATTTTGTGTACAATGTTAATTATGAATCATATGTGTAACGTATATACAGGGTGATTCAAAATAACCTGATGTCTTTGCAATGCCATATTCTTGAGCATATTCTGAGACGATTTTTCCTTTTACAAAATTTTGTCCGAAGCTTAGTTTTCGAGTTATAATTGAAAATAGGTAGCAACTTACGAGTTTGTTACAACGGGCAGGCAGGGACGCGCAACGTATAATGAGATTGTCAAGTGTTTACTATCGTCTCATGACGAATTGCACCGACCCTGCCTGTCCGTTGTATCGGACTCGTAAGTAGCAAACTATTTTCAATTAGAACTCGAAAACTAAGCTTCAGACAAAATTTTGTAAAAGGAAATATCGTCTCAGAATTCGCTCAAGAATATGGCATTGCAAGGACATCAGGTTATTTTGAATCACTCTGTATATAAAACTATTTCATATTTATCCCTTTATTGAATAATTAAATATAATGTATAATAAAATTTAACGTAAAAAGTGTTACTAATACAGATTACTAATGGAAACATTTAACGTCTATTAGTGGCCACTTTATTTTTCCTTCTGCATGCAATTCGGCGCTAAATTTCTTACTTGCGACAAAACAAAAATTAATCTTTTTCATTATTTTACATAAATTTAACATATCTACATCATTGATTCCAAACTATCAAAAAGGCATTGCAATAATGATAAACTTAAGTATAAATAAAAAAAATTTTTTTAATTATAAATTAAGTTTTTTTATTTTTCAGCAAAAAAGGACTATATAGGATCTCGCAATGCCTGTTATAAAGCAAATAATATGGACTATCTTTTTGATTTTAATTGCTGGTAATGACATGATCGTATATGATGTACATCACACATTGCGTGTTCACATCATACATGAGCAAATTATGCGTTAATTCTTTTCTTCATGTCACATATTTTAAGTGTGAAATATAATATCTATATTTATGTTGAGTTATTTTCTTTATTTATATTCAAAACATACATTTGTTAATTACTTGTATTTCTTTTTAAATGATTAATACTGACTTTAAACATTAAGAGATTTAATTGGGAAGAAACTTAATAAAGATACATTTTAACAGTTTAGAAGCTCATTTCATTAAAACAAGAACGTGATTTTTTCTATCAAGCAAAAAAGTTTTTTCTCAAATTTTGTTACTTCCAATGTTAATTAAGAAAAAATTTATGTTATTAACAAACTATCTATTAGATATAAATAAAATTGATTATTCATTGAATTTATTTTTTCAGGTATTGTAGTGATATATACGTCAACCTATACACAAAATAAAATATGTGATAAAAATACATACTCAGGACACACTCAAGAAACTACATCGAACTCATTAAAGACAGAAGAAAAAATCGACACCAAAACAAAAATATTTATAATATTACTCTTTCTTACGTCATCAGCTTTAAATCTTGTTGTAATTTTGTGCATGTAAGTTGCATTTTCTTAATATAAATGGTCATTTTCGAAAACGTATTCATTGAATATCTTGAAAGGACGCATTATTTTGCTTCGGGGAAAAAAAATATATAGCGTATATCGATACCGTAGATTATGATGAAACTATGTTCAATCTCCAAAAATTCTTTTATATATGTATATATATATATTTGTATATATATATATAATTTTACATGTATTATTTATTTTCATAATAATTAAATAAACAAGTCATAAATAATTTCATATTTCATAAAAAAAATTTGAAATTTAGCAAAATAATATTAACTTTTTATTCTGTCAATTTGTTGCTAATAAATTTTAATACATTAGAAAACAAAATAATAATTATAATTGTTATAAAAACAAATAATTTATAAATTAAAATACAACATGGTAATATTAGTAAAATTTCTAGAAATTATCTCGGGGTTACACTTCTACAAAACTATATTAACCTTTTTAAAGTGCACGAATTAATATTAGATTGCAAATGTCTATTGGCTTCTTCTCGCGATATCAAAGATAACAGATAATCGTTTTTTGTGTTGATAATTTAAAAACCATTGCCGTCTTACTGTATTTTCAAGTTAGCATATTATGCACATATATAAATGAATATAAATAATTCATTGCGCTCAATTAGAATAAAAATAATTCGTAGTAATTATTAATGTAGAAAAAAATACTGCTTAAGGAGAAGGCCTGAAATAATAGAGCCTGAACTAAGGATGCATGAAATAAAGGCTGCCTCGCGGCCTCATTTAAAACAGATAATGTAAGTAAAATATCCAGTCAAATATATGTGTTGGAATCCATAAGATAATGCAATAACTATTAATATTCTCAATATTTTTCAATTCATTATATTATAATAAATAGACTCATATAATGCAAGCTATTCTATTGTTCAATAGAGTTATTTCCGAGATTTAAAAATCATGTTCGGAATGGCATTGAAAATCCGAGACAATTAATCACATTTTATCGTTTGTAGTTCCACGCAAAATATTACGTTACCGCTCATTCGGCGTTAACTGTGTGCCATGCGTAAAACGCATCGCTCTAAAAGAGAGCATCGAATTAATCTTTAATTAAAGCTATTTTGTGCGCATCATTATTATAAGTAATTTCCATAGTCTTTATAACATAAAAGAATATTATAGAAACAGTAGTCAGTATTTAACAACAGCATCTACAAAACGGCTTAAAACGTTCGTCGCAAACGTCAAAATTTCAAGTGTTCATCAAAAGTACGGACAAATAAAAAATCATCTGCTCCTGCATAAAATAAGTTTGATCGCGACACGGTAACAACGAAATTTATAATTCTTAGTTTCTGAAATATATTTTCATGTTAAAAAAACCACTCAAATTATTTATAGATTAAAAGAAAAGCTAGTTTCAAATGTTTTTTTAGCTCCGTTGCGTCCCAATGCGTAGCACACAATTGACGGCGAGTAAGCATCAGTACGATATTTCGCGTAGAACCATTAATGACGATTAATTGTTACGGATTCTAACGCAATCCCGAACAGTCATTTTTATTTTTTTTCCAATAAATTGCTATTATTTATATGTACTTTGTTAGCCACAAAACCAAACATAAAAATTTATAATACAAAATCTTTTAAGGTTACTCAAAAATAATTAAAACAAACATATTTCAAATTAAAAGCCAACATAAAGCAACGACAATTTTCATAAAATCCGGATACATTTAAAATGACACTTATGTTGTCTATTAAAATCAATCTGTAAAAATACATATCCTATATATACAAAAAGTTTGCATACAGTTACACACAAAAAAATTGAATTAGTTTATGAGAAAGAAAGATACCAAAATCAATATTAATAATAAATATGAAATGCTAACAAAGTTCACTGGGAGTTAGCAATTAGTGTACCAGACGAAATACCAATATATCATTATATTCATTTGAAAAATCGCTATGAAAATATAAATATCAAGCATGCAGAATTCCTATTGATTCAACAAGATTCTGAGAGGTAACCTATTCTGCAACCACATAGAATCTGTTAGATTCAACAATCTGTATGATTACGAGATAACCAAACCAGATTCTGGTTGAATCAATCAGAATCTTGTTGTATTAATAAAAATTCTGGTAAATTTAATCAGAATCTGTCTGTTTCGTCAAAAATTGAACAGACGGTTAGTTATATCAAACAGAACATTTTTCTCAGTGCATGTACTTTAAGAAAAAAAAAGTTGAACTCGAATCTCTGAATAACGGACTTAAAAATTGATTGCGTTAAACGTTAAATAAGTTTTAGTGGTCTATACTACATTTCTTAAAGAAATTATTTTCTAACTTTTATAGTATCCAAGATATTGAAAATGCTAATAATTTTTGACTTATCGCATATTTTATACAACAAGTTGATCATAGAGTAAATAAGCACATTATTTTACTACATACGTGTGCGCATAACAAATTTATTATTTCATCAAGGCATCATCTAAATTTTTGAACAAAAAAATATTGTTTTCGAAAATTAATTTCTTTTTTACAGGAGGAAAATAAGAATGACGTAGACGTAATTATGCATGGATAGTTCTCTGATTTTTTCTAATGTTATGTCTAAATGCATAATTATATTTATTTGTAACATTCGTAAAATGAACAAAAGCTATATTTAATTTGACTGAGAACATAACTTAATCTAGACAGTGTATTTGTTGAATATATTACATCCTAAATGATGCGTCAAACAATACATTTGACAAACTTACGACATAATATAGATAAGAGAAATTGCATGAATTTAGTCGTCAATTACCCAATATCATCAATGACAACAGAATTAAATTTTTGTATCCCTTGAATATTAGTTTTATGTATGACGGATTACTGTACTATATTAGTGTAACAATTGAGCTATTAGTTAAGTATCGACAACAGTTTAGTGTCAACAGAACTCTTGTAAATTTCAAAAAATATAATGCCAAAATTAATATTTTTTATTAATATATTGAAGTTTGAATTGCTATTTTAATTATTAATTAAAATTAATTTAATTATTTTATTAATTCCAACCATTATCATATGCAATACAAAATGACTGACTAACATAGTTAAGCTTGTTCATAATATGATAAAATATCAAAATTGGCATTATTTCTTGATTGCTAAAGTTTTCAAAATATAGTATCTAGTAATCAATAATACTATCTGTAAAAAAATATTTTAATAACATTGTATAAAACATGTTAAACAGTCTTCTCACATATAACTTAATTTTTAATCAGTAGCAACTGATTTCAAAATTAATCTTTATTAAAAGCAATGTTACTCCAGTTCTAAAAAAAAGCACATATTTATTTAAACTTTTTATTTTTTGTATGAATTTTCAGTTTTTATAACCATGTTTTATAAAAATGACGGTATATCCATAATTTTTATAGAAATAATTAAAACAATTTTAACATTTCTTATATAATTAGACTAAAATAAAATTAATACATATATTACTTTTAATATTGTAAGTAACAGCTAAATAATTAGGAAACGGCTTTAATAATAAATATTTTTATTATGTAAATATAATCTCAAATACTTCTAAATAAATCTTGCATTTTATTTTGCTAAAAAATAGATTTATTAAGTTACAGGTTGGAACACAGTTTAATCGTAAATATTTATTATTCAAGTCTTTTCATTTGCAAGAATTTTGTGCTTCTACTATAAAATGTGCCTGTTCATAAAATGACAAAACTGGAGTTACTTTTAGACATGCAGTTTCGTATTCATATACGAGGGCTGTATGATAAGTACCCGTGTTTAACGACAGAAAGCATCATTGACTCAAAGTCTGTATACCATCGTTTAACGTCATCTTCTAAACGACGCCAGTCAAAATTTCAAACAGATTTATCGAGTAGTTTTGTTTTGACAACTGTTGAAAGTGGACAAAATTGTGTTTGTTTGCAACCATGGAAAAAGAGCAATATCGGTCAGTGATTCGATTCCTTTTTTTGGATGGGAAGACGTGTGAAGAAATCAAAGTGAAGTTGCATGTCGTTTATAAGGACCATGCACCTTCAATGACTACAATCAGATATTGGTTCAATGAATTTAAGCGTGGCGAAACATCCGTTTTTGATGAAGAGCGCCCAGGTCGTCCGATTGAGGTGACTACGGAGGATATGGTCAACAAAATCCATGATATCGTGTTAGCAGACCGCCGGGTGAAGATCAGAGAGATTGCTGACATTGTAAACATCTCAATTAAACGCGTACAAAATATCCTACAAGAAAAATTGGGCATGAGAAAGCTATCGGCGAGATGGGTGCTGCGTTTGCAAAAAAAAAAAAAAAAACGCACCAGCTCATTTGTCCGCAATCGACACTGCAAAACTGGTCGAATTACGCTACGAATTGCTGTCTCATCCACCCTATTCTCCAGATTTGGCTCCCTGCAATTTCATTATTTCCAAACATGAAAAAATGGCTTGGCGAAAAGCGGTTTACGTCAAACGAGGAAATCATCGCCGAAACAGAAACTTATTTTGCGGAGTTCGACAAATCATATTTTTTGCATGGTATAAAAATGTTGGAATATCGCTGGATTAAGTGTATCGAGCTGAAAGGAGACTATGTCGAAAAATAAGTAAAAAAATTTTTTTTTAAATGCGTTTTCTTCCCTAACACGGGTACTTATTATACAGCCCTCGTATAATATTCGTATATAAAAATATGACATACAATAATATATATATATATATACATGACATATAATATATATAAATATATATATATATATATATAAATATATGGGCAATAAGAGTATATATATGTATATATAAATATTTTTATAAATATTTTATATAAATACATATACATACAATATGAGTATATATTTTGCCATTTAGGCCTTAAAGATGCAGCTATGTATGCAGTGTATTTAGTTTGCAGCCAGTTACATTTATACTATATTACATTTATATTTGTTTGCATTTTAATAATTTTTGTATGTGCGTTGGGCGTACTGTATAAGTATTTAATTTTGTTCAAACTCACCGATTTTGTATGAAAATTTCGTGAATTTAGTTCTAGTATAGCGATATGTTTTATTTTAACCTCTTTTGTACAATTATGATAAGTGTTTTGAATTAGAGGCATGTGCCTTCCACGGGTATTCTTTCGGGATGGCGGCGTGTTAGATATTTATTCGAAACAACCGCTCTGGGCGCTAAGGCGTTTTCTTTTGTTTATGCGTATCGGTTGTTACTATTTTTCTTCGGACGCCCTTCGGCGTCTTCGCGTCGCTGCCATCGCGCGAGCATGCGCGCCTATGTTTCTATTCGTACGTTGTACGTCTCGGTCGTCGCCATACTAGACAACGAGCGCTCGACCTTTTATCACGTCGAGCAATTATATACAGTATAAGTGTTGCTACCCATTTGTATTCGGAAGCATCTCACATTCGGCCTACATAAACTCTAAATTAAGAAGAAATACATATTTCATCGTCCACGGATCTACGAAGCACCATCCCGAAAGAATACCCGTGGAAGGCACATGCCTCTAATTCAAAACAATAAGAATGAATTTAAGATAAAAATTAAAACTATAATATTGCATACATTCAATAAAAATAACATTCTTCAATAAAGTTTTATTATTTTAGGTTCTGTAAGTTCTAATGATTTTAAATTTTCCATAAGAAAAGGCCAAAATTTATATCATCCTACCAAATTTTTCGTATTATAATTGCAATTTTCATACATTTTTCGTGCGCGCGCGCAACTAAATTTATATATCTGTTTATAATTTAACAAATTTTTATCTGTTTTTAATTGTCTTATTAATTTGATCTCTTCTTTCACGAAATGTAATACTTTCCTATAGAAGTCATATATAGAACGAACAACATTGTTAATTAAATTTTTATAAAATAATCAAAACATAAATAAATTATCAAAGCAATATAAATTTCGACAACTTTAAGCTAATCCAATTATAAGAAAAAACTAAAATTTTTGGTATTTAATCCACTGAATATTTAAATTTTTAATCCCCTAATTATTATTACTAAATAAAAAAAATCTTACAACGCGAAAAGTTTGTGATATAAAACAAATATATATAAGAGCTTACTTCAAATTTTTTAAATATTTCTTTAAATTATAAATTTTTGTAATGTCTTCTTTTGCATAGGCCAGTTCAACAATCAGTATGAAAACATTTATAACAAATACAGCGTTATGTGCTATATCTAATTACACATGAACGGAAACCTTTTTGTGTATTATATTTTACAATCTTTAATTACATAAAAATCTGCAAACTGAATCTGATAATTGAAAGAAATAGATTCGTAGAAACTTTTTACTTTGAAATTTCTCTCAAAAAAGACAGTACAAGCGAGTTAATAATGTGATATTATAAAAATCATGAAACTGTAAAGATAAACATATTTGTGGCCGAAACCAATAAGTTTAATGCAAATGAGCAAATCAAAGTCAAGTATTATATGTATGTATTATACGTAATGAGCCGATTGCTTCTCATTGTCACGGTGTCGTTCAGAAAACACAGACGTCCGAAAGTTTGGACCTGGTAAGATGAACATAGTGATATTATAATGCTAATACTTGTTATATTAAATTGGTTAAATAGGGTTTTGCTATTATTTTATGTCGAGAGTTTTCAATATTTGAATATTTTATGTTAATTGATAAATTTATATTGCAATCACTGCTGACATGACAACATATTCTATTGAATTTCTTTAAAATTTATACCTTTCTTTCGATTCTCTCGTCGCCATTAACAATCATTTGTACGACACTATTACATATCGTTTCAAATTAAGTATTGTTAACTAATATGTCACTTTGTGCATCAGAATAAGATTTGACAAACATTTATTATTCATAAGATTTGGAACCAACTATCCTGTGCTAAAAGGATAAATATAATGTTTAATTTTGCTCGCAATATTAATTATGGTTTATATGTGTAACGAATGTGTATAAAACAATTTCACATTTATCCTGTTATTAAATAATTTAATTTAATGTGTAAAATTTAACGTGAAAAGTGTTACTAATACAGATTACTAATGGAAACATTTAACGTCTGTTAGTGACCGTACGATTTTTTGTGTCAACTAATACATATATTATAAATATTTTATTTTTCCTTTTGCGCGCAAGTCGGCGCTATATTGATTTCTTATCTACGAAGAAACAAAAATTTATCTCTTTTATTACTTTGTATAAATTTAAAACTGCTTCATTGTTGATTTCAAATAACCAAGAAAACATTGCAATAATGATAACTTTAAGAATAAGTAAATAAAAATCAAGAAAAATTAACCTTAATTTTTTTATTTTTAAAGAGAAAAAGATCATATAAAATCTAACGATGAATCATATACCACGCATATATTGGATTATGGGCTTTACGCTTCTAATTAGTGGTAATGACATAATTGTGTGTGTAGTATGTGTGTTTACATCAACATAAACAAATTATCCGTTAATTATTTTCTTCATGTCATATTTTGAATGTGAAACAAAATATCTGCATCTTTGTTCAACTATTTTCTGCGTTTCCATTCATAACGTCAATTTATTAATTACCTATATTTTTTTTTAAATGATAAACTAATACTGACTTCAAACATTAATAGATTAAATTGGAGAAAAACTTAATAATAATACATTTTAACAATTTAGCAGTTTATTTCATTAAAGTAAGAACATGATTTCTTTTATCAAGCAAAAAAGGTTTTCTCTAATAATAAAATTTCATCATATCCAATATTAATTCAGAAAAAATTTGTGTTATTGACGTACTTCGTTTATTAGTTATAATATAATTGATTATTAATTATTTATGATTATTAACTAAATTTATTTTTTCAGGAACTCTAGTGCATTATTATGCACCTAACATTACAGAAATAATAATTATTATTATGAAATATGTGATAAACAAATTATTATTTGAAATAAAAGATAAAGGAGTTTTCGTCTTAACGCTATCGATCATAGGCTGTGTTATGCATTTTGTTTTTAAGAGGATATATTTCGATATTTTCGAGTAAGTTCACCGTTTCTTAATATGTATATAAGTAATTTTACAAGTCTCATTTACTTCTATAAATTATATGAACAAGTTACAAATAATATAAAATGTCATAAAAAAACGAATTTAAATTTTGGCAAAATAATATTAACTTCTTTTTGTGTAATTTTCCTAATTAAATTTATTACATTAAAAACCTGAATAATGCTAATCATTTTTATAAAAACAAATAAAAATACAACATGATAATGTTAGTAAAATTTGTAGAAATTATCTCGTAATGCTCACACAAAATTATATTAACTTTTTCAAAATGCACGAATTAACAGATTGCAAATACCCATTGGCTTTTTCTCTCAATACAAAGATAACAGATAGTTCCCTTCTGTGCTAATTATTTAAACCATTGCCACCTCACAGTTTCCTCGATTTAACAAATTATGCACATATGTAAATGAATATAAATCATTTGTTACGCTTCATTAAATTAAAAATAATTTGTAATAATTATAAACGTATAGCTGTTTTTCCTCAGACCTCAAGAGCCAGAAAACATGCAGCACCAAAACGGGCAGCCTCGCGGCGTCATATTTGAAACAGACGATGTAAGTAAAATATCCAGTCGAATATGTTATGAAAATTAATTTCATAAGATAATGCAATAACTATTAATATTCTCAATATTTTTCAATTCATTGTATTATAAGAAATAGATTCCTATATAATGCAATGCATTCTTTTGTTAAATAGAGCTATTTCTGAGATTTAAAAATCATGTTCTGAATGACGCTGAAATCTGGGACAATTAATCACATTTTATTGTTTATAGCTGCACGCAAAATATGCTGCCGTACATTCGGCGTTAACTGTGTTATGCGTAGAACGCATAAAAAAAGAATGTCGAATTAGCATTTTGTTGAAGATATTTTGTGCACATCATTATTATAAGTAATTTCTATATGGTTTTTATAACATAAAAAAATATCATAGAAACAGTAGTCAATATCTAACAACAGTATTTAAAAAACGGCTTAAAATCGCCGCGAACGTCAAAATATCAGTTGTTTATAAAAAGTACGGGCAAATAAAAAAAAACACATTGTTCTTACATAAAATAAGCTTCATCGCGACACGATAACGACGAAATTTATAATTATCAATTTCTGAAATATATTTTCATGTTAAAAAAACCACTAAAATTTTTTATACATTAAGAGAAGAGCTAGTTTCCAGTGTTTTTGTTAGCTTCGGTGCATCTCAATGCGTAGCGCACAATTGACGGCAAGTAAGCGCCAGCACATTTCGCGTAGAACAATAAATGATGATTAATTGTCACGAATTTTAGCGCAATCCCGAACAGTCTTCTTTATTTTTTTTTTAATAAATTGCTATTATTTACATGTACTTTGTAGCGGTGACAAAACCAAATATAAAAAATTATAATACAAAATCTTTAAGGTTACTCAAAAATAATTAAAACAAACGTATTTCATTAAAAGCCAACATAAAGCAACGGCAAATCTCATGAAATCGAGATTTATTTGAAATGACACTTATGTGGTCCATTATATTCAATCTGTAAAAATTTATCTCCTATACATACAAAAAGTTTGCATACAGTTACACATAAGAAAATTGAATTAGTTTATACGAGAAAAAGATGCTAAAATAAATATTAATAATTACTATAAAATGCCAAAAAAGTTCACTAGAAGTTAGCAATTGGTGTACCAAACGAGATACAAATACATCATTACATTCATTTGAAAAATTGCTATGAAATTATAAACATCAAGCATACATACAGAATTCTTATTGATCAAACAAGATTCTGAGAGACAACCTATTCTGTAAACACATAAAATCTGTTAGATTCAACAATCTGTTTGATTACGAGATAACCAAACCAGATTCTGGTTGAATCTATCAGAATCTTGTTGTATTAATAAGAATTCTGGTAAATTTAATAAGAATATGTCCGTTTCGTCAAAAATCAAACAGACGGTTAGCTGAATCAAACAAAACATTTTTCACAGTGTATGTACTTTAAAAAAAAAAAGTTGAATTCAAATTTCAGAATAGGGGACTTAAAAATCCATTGCGTTAAACGTTAAATAAGTTCTAGTGGTCCATACCACATTTCTTAAAGAAATTATTTTCTAACTTTTATAGTGTCCAAGATATTGAAGATGCTAATAATTATTGATTTATTGTATATCTTATAGAACAAGTTGATCATAGAGTAAATAAGCACATTATTTTACTACATATATGTAGTAAAATAATCTACATATATCTACATATATGTAGTAAAATAATCATCTAAATTTTTAAACAAAAAGATATTGTTTTCAAAAATTAATTTCCTTTTTACAGGAGGAAAATGATGGAGAAGTAATTATGCATGGATAATTCTCTGATTTTTTCTAATGTTACTTCTAAATGCATAATTACATTTATTTGTGACATTCGTAAAATGAACAAAAGCTATATTTAATTTGACTGAGAACATAACTCAATCTAGAGTGCATTTGTTAAATATTATTGCATCCTAAATGATACGTCAAACAATACATTTGACAAACTTGCGACATAATACAAATAAGAGAAATTAAATGAATTTAACGTCGATTACTCAACATGAATATGACAACAGGATTAAATTTTTGTATCCCTTGAATATTAGTTTTAAGTATGCCAGATTACTATACTATATTAGTGTAACAATTTAGCTATTAATCAAGTATCTACAAAAGTTTAGTGTCAACAGAATTCTTATAAATTTGAAAAAATATAGTGTCAAAATTAATATTTTTTATTAATATATTGAAGTTTGAATTGCTATTTTACTTATTAATTAAAATTAATTTAATTATTTTATTAATTCTGACCATATGCATTACAAAATGACTGACTAACATAGTTTAAGCTTCTTTATAATAAAATATTAAATTTGGCATTAATTTCTGATTGCTACAGTTTTCGAAATATAGTATCTAGTGATCGATAATACTAACTGTAAAAAAAATATTTTAAACACATTGTATAAAAGATGTCAAATAGCCTTCTTACATATAATTTAATTTTTAATCAGTGGTAACTGATTTTAAAATTAATCTTTATTAAACACAATGCTGCCTCCAATTCTAAAAAGAAGCACATATTTATATCGACTTTTTACTTTTTTTTATGGTTTTTCAGTTTTTATAACCATGTTTTATAAAAATGACGGTATATCCATAATTTTTATACAAATAATTAAAACAATTTTAACATTTCTTATATAATTAGACTAAAACAAAATTAATACATATATTACTTTTAATATTATAAGTAACAATTAAATAAATAAGAAAATGGCTTTAATAATAAATATTTTTATTATGTAAATATAAACTCAAATACTTCTAAATAAATCTTCCATTTTATTTTGCCAAAAAATAGATTTATTAAGTTACAAGTTAGAACACATTTTAATCGTAAGTGTTTATTATTAAAGTCATTTCATTTGCGAAAATTTTGTGCTTCTACTATAGAATGTATCTGTTTATAAAATGAGAAAAATGGAGTTACTTTAATAGAAGCAGTTCTATATTC